CTCTCAGAAAGAAAATTATAGGAGAAGTAGACTGACAGTGTATGGATGTCAAGGAAAAATTCTATATCTCTTTTCAATAAATAGGGCCTCCTTTTATACACCATGGGGGAGAGGGGAGGAGCCTCTAGCCATCAAGGCTGGCAACTAATGCTAGCAAAACTGCCCAATCAATTTTGTAAAACTGATGAGCCTTAAATGTGTGAATTATATACACATTTATGAGACAATTTCTTATTCAACCATTTTTCTCCAACACTAAAACACATTACGCATGTGATTTTTAAGGGTAATTACACTAACACCCCCTACCCCTTGGTATTTCTATTTACTATAAATTTTTCCCTCATATTTAAAAAATTACACTTACCTCTGTCTGATTAAAATGATTATTTGTCCCTTAACCTTTATACATATATAATAATAAAATAATATTGATATTTTATTAATGTCATTTTAAGAGAAATAACAATCAATCTTTTTGGTTTAATTCACAAAAAAATTTGAATTTCTTTATTTTTTGTGTTTTTTATTTTTACTGAATTTTTTTTAATATTTTAAGCATTTTTTTATTTTTTATTTTTTAGATACACCTAATCTAGATATATTTAAGAAGTATAATATTTTGTATTTTTTTTTAAATTCACCAAATAAAAAAAATACAAAAATATAAAAATTTAGTAATATTATAATAAATGTGAATGACAATATTTGGTAATACTGTAATAAATGTGGGTGAATAGTCGAGAAAGAAAAACGATGATGGAAATAAAAATAAAAAATTTTATTCGTATATAAAAATTTATATAAAAAATATCATAAAAATATTGCGATAATGATATTGTTATAAATATAAATAATATTCATGAATATTTTGTTTTAAAGTGAAAGGTTACCATTAATCTATATCATTGTATTTGAAAATTTATATAAAATTTATGTTTATATATCATCACTCAATAAGAATATATTCAGATAGAATTTAAAGTTGAAAAGTTATAGAATGTAATCATGATGATAGAAAAAAGAAATAGTATGAAAAATGATAAAATGATCATTTAAAAATTTTAAAATATGACATTAACTGTCCATGAAATAATTTATAATAAAATTTTAAATTTTATAAAAAAAATATAATTTTTCAAAGGTGAAGAAGAATGTATATTAAATAAAAATTTAAAGGGGGGTGGCAGTGTAGTTTACCTGAATTTTAATGATATATTCCATTGACAATACGCTGTTGAGGTTATCCTTCGTGTCCGTGCATACTCGATCTAAATAAAATATGGCCTCTCTTTATAATTTCTTTTTTTTAAATTAGTTTTTTTTTTTTTTTTTTAATGATGTAATATCTGTTTTGTTTCACTTGCATTGGGAACCAAATTTGCTCATTTCAACTTGTTTTTTCTAAGAATTTAGAAATGATATTTATGTGTGATAAATTTTTTAGTTTAAAATGAGTTGAATTTTGTTAGAGAAAATATCAGAAAAATTATATTTTATTGATAAATAATGTAAAGAAAATAAGATACAAATAGATTAGGCTGAGGTACAGATATCTCGTTTTCTCTAAGGAGATCAAGTCCACTACGATAGGAAGAACCCAAATACCGATGCAACAGTCACAAAACTATGACTTGTTCCCTCCAGAATACAACAGTCCGACTACTTGTCGTATGGTTCAGGCCAACTCTGTACAAGATGGCGAACCCAAAGATCCACCAAGAAAAACACCATTCTTTACTAGTAATCTCTCTTGTATAAACAATAGTTGGTGCTGTTATAGAAAAAAGTAGATGAGATGAACTATTTATAGATCGCTAGGACCGTACAATTTATACCCAAAAAAATGATGACCATTAAATTAGAAAAAATGGAAAGTCTCCAAATATTAACTCACCAACAAGTTCATGAACTTCAATTAATCTCCATTCATGAACAAGACAAAAAGTCACTAAAAAAATGAATCGTTATTCACCAAACAAAATAAGATTCATGAACAAGACAAAAAAAGATTTATGAACAAAATATATAAATAAATAAATAAACGATATTACAATGGTCCAACAATCTCCCACTCATTTTAATATCAACAAGGACAAGAGAGATTACCAAACAAAGATAGACTAGTATGCATCATGAAGGTGTGCTCTGCATTGAACCTTCATTAGTGAAACGACAACCTCTATTCCAAAGTCAGTAGTGGTCTCAAACTTGAACTATGATTACTTAGGAAAAATAAAGTATTACTACTCACACATAATAATCCAGGTGTTGACATGAGTTTTTAATAGCCAGCACATTACGGTGTTGTGCTAATCCCAGTTTTCATGAGCATATTTGAGAATAAGCCTTATTCTCATAGAAAGCGGCTCCACTTTCATGCTCACATATGTGAAATCTATCAAGGATATTGTCACGCCCCAAAATTTAGACAATTAAATATTAAATTAGGACTAACTCCAATTAATATTCCATCATCCAAATTCTTAGGGGTGAAACAAAAAAAAAACTAAACGCCAACCAAACCATCCACCATAATTTCATAACTAACTAATGCCTCCAATATTAAAGTAACAATAAATAGTCAAAATACACTTAAATAATGTACGGTTACAAACCATGCCAAACTATCCCAATACTAAAGTCATAAAAAAAATAATAAATACATAAACTAGTATCAACCCTAAGCTCAAGAAAACAAAAGAAGTCCCAGAGATATGCCCAAAATCTATGGTTACTCCACGTCACCACCGTAGCCCCAACTAATCCTGTAAAGGAAGCTCGGTTGCGCTTAAACAGAACGCACCCGAATTGCCAAGAGACAAAACGGGTCAGTATACAGATATACTGGTATGAGTACAGGATTTAACACCCATGTGTCCACCAGACACAAACAAAAATACATTTAATTCTTGTTATGGGATAAGACAAATAGTTCCATCCGCACCGAGACGAATGTGTAATTTCTCGAGATACGGTGACATTTAGTTTCTTACCCGTACACAACAAAATATAAATTAAGTATAGAATAAACAAAATAAAAATAAAAATATGATGGGTCAGCCCTGCATAAAAAAAATTAGTAAGACCCACCATCCTGCAAAACAAATAAAGTTAGTATAATTTAATCATAAGTAATTTGCTGAAAAAGTATAAAAATGCACCGTTTCATACTTAAATAATTCGAATTGATCAAAACTCAAAAAACAAAAGTTGTACAAAATCAAATTTCCTAAAAGATACCATGAACGAATTTAACAGAAACTAAACAGGTTGAGAGAAAACCTTGATAGAAAAACTAGACGGAATTCAATCGAAAAATTTGAAGCTTAAAACGAACAAAAACTGCCCTAAGATGATTTTTTTGGGAAAAGTTCAAAACACGAAAAGTGTGCAGAATAATGTTTTACTTCAATTTTCGCGAAACCAATAAAAATGAACTCATTACATGGGTTAAAATAGCATCTAAAGTCTGTATTGCCAAAATGAATTAAAACTACTATAATCAAGATCATTCGATTATAAGTTCTAATCGATCTTTTTAATAAAAAGTTAAAACACAAAAGTTGTTTAGAATCACGTATACATTCCTCTGCTCAAATTTCATAATTTATCGAGATCGTTTGCTATTTTTCAACATGTACAAATAAATACAATTCACACTATCACAGAAAAACTCATCATCAAATTCTTGGTACCTTAATTCCACCACTCCGGGCCTCCCCTTCCGGCCTATACATATATCCCAAGTGCCTCCCGTATACCTAACACCGCTCCGAATCCAAACTTGCACGGGGATATCGTCTCGAGTTTGACTCACACTTCCCAGATGGTTAGCATATACGTACGCACGTAAATCAAATCACTCGTCTACTCATGAGAACGAGGCAACAATATACATATACAAAACATCTCACTCATGAGAACAAACATAACAATGCCAAGCCTAAGGCATTCAAATAAATCTCATAATCCTCATTTTTTTTTTTATGCACTCTTTCTCACAACACTCAAATAAACACAACAATCCATGGCGTTATGGTGGAGTGTAAGGAATTTATATATGGATTTCTAATTTATTTTAATTTCATGTATCCATAAGGGTGATTACAACCATAAAATAAATCCATATAAAAATCTTAAACCTGACACACATAACAAATCAAAATAATTAAAATCAATCAATTATCTAAAAACCCTAAACCTTACATACACAACTAATCAAAATAATTAAAATTAATCAAACATCGAAAAATCTTAAACCTTTTATACACAACTAATCAAAATAATTAAAATCAATCTATCATTTTTATATAAAAACATAATCAAACTAATATCAAATAAATAAATAAATAAAAACAACGAATTAAATATAAATCAAGAGAAATAGGATTTGTACTCACAATATTTTTTTTAAAATCAAAAAATTATTTAAAGAACTAATGAAACCACAAAAACAAAACCCTAATTTTATTTCTTTTTCCTCCCCTCTTTCTCTTTTTTTTTTTTTTCTTTTTTTTTTTTTTTTTTTTTTTTTTTACGGCTCTCTCTGATGATCTCTCTCTCTCTCACGCGCACACACTTTCTCGCCGTGTGTGACTTGCGGCTATTGTACCCCTGTTTTCTTTTCTTTTTATTTTGTTTTATTATCTAAGTGAGGCTCTAATGCTTAACCTAATTGACATTATTTACATTTTATTTTATTAAATAATTGCAACATATATAAATATTTTTTATAAAATCAATACATATAACACCATTTTTTATATATAAATATATATAAAAATAAATATTTGAATTAATTCTTTATAATTAAATATCACATTAAACTAATTAAATATCACATTAAATTCTCATGTGACCACACAATTAATAAAGTAAAAAATAAAATAAGATAATAATAATTATAATAATAATAAATAATGACTAAAGACAATTAGGGTCGCTACAATATACACATCTCAAAAGAATCTCGTCCCGAGACTCGATAGGAGAGAGTACTAAACAAAAAGTTCTGGGTGCATACGCCGAACTTTCTCTTCTAACTCCCAGGTAATATTGTTCTCATCCTCGCTCCATTGCACTTTCACCAAGTTCACTTCCTTGCGCCGCAATTGCTTTACATCCCAATCTAGAATAGTAACTGGTCGCACTGCATACGTTAGATCGTCACTATTCTCCAACACTTCTGGTGATACTACTTGGGAAGGGTCTTGTACACACTTCCGTAATAAAGATACATGGAACAGATTGTGAATCATAGCTAAAGCAGGTGGTAGAGCTAATTTATAAGCCACATTACAAATCCTCTCAGTGATCTCGTATGGTCCCACAAATCTAGGTGCCAACTTTTCCTTCTTTCTGAACTGCATGATACCCTTCATCGGCGAGACCTTCAAAAACACAAAATCTCTAACATTCAACGCAACCCCTTTACGTTTTCTATCAGCGTAACTCTTCTGACGACTCTGCGCAGTCTTAATACGTTCCCGAATAATGTTCACCTTCTCCGTGGTCTCTCTCACCAACTTTGGCCCTAACAATGGGGCATCTCCTACCTCCATCTAACAAGTAGGTGATCGACATGGCCTCCCATACAAAGTCTCAAAAGGTGTCATCCCGATACTGGATTGATAACTATTATTATAAGCAAACTCCACCAATGGCAAGTGTTCTTCCCAACTACCACCAAGATCGAGGACAAAAGCTCTCAACATATCCTCCAAGATCTGATTTACCCACTTAGTTTGCCCATCCGTCCGAGGATGATAAGCCGTGCTCAAGTCTAACCTAGCACCCAAAGCATGCTGAAAACTCTCCCAAAACTCTGCCACAAATAACGGATCACGATCCGAAACTATAGAAACTGGTGCACCATGAAGTCGCACTACCTCCTAAATATACAGCCTAGCTAGTTTATCCGCAGTTCGGTGAACACTGATTGGAATAAAATGAGCAGACTTGGTGAGTCGATCCACTATCACCCAAATAGACTCATTGCCACGTTTAGACCGTGGCAATCCATTCACAAAATCCATAGAGATGCACTCTCATTTCCAAGTAGGAATATCAAGAGGCTGCAAAAGTCCAAACGATCGTTGGTGTTCTGCCTTAACCTGCCGACACACATAACATCGAGAAACATACTCTCCTGCGTCTTTCTTCATACCTTCCCACCAAAACGTCCTCTTCAAGTCATGATACATTTTAGTCCCACCAGGGTGAATGGTATATCGGGACCTATGGGCATCATCCATAATCTCTTTTCTCAATTCAACAATGTTAGGTACACACAACCTGCCCATGAATCGCAATCCCCCATCTGAGTCCACAGACCAATAAGTAGGACAATCATCGATCAAATCCACTACAAGGTCATTGAGCTTACTGACGAGAAACCCATCTAAATTCTGCATCTGATGAACTTTACCCAGTAAAATCGGCTGCACGATCAAACTACCAATGTATGCCCTCTCAGCACTCTCTATTGGTTGAACATCATGCATCGAAATTAACTCTAAGGACTTTCATTCCTGAATCATCAAAGAAGCTATCATCCCATGTTGTCGACTAAGTGTATCTGCGACCACATTTCCTTTCCCCGAGTGGTAAATGATCTTGAAATCATAACTACTGACAAATTCAACCCACCTTTGTTGCCTCATATTCAACTCTTTTTGAGAAAAGAGATATTTGAGGCTCTTATGATTTGTGTACAACTCAAAGTGCTCCCCAAACAAGTAGTGTCGTCACACTTTCAACGCAAAAACAACTGCTGTCAACTCTAAGTCATGAGTAAGGTGTCATCTTTCATGAGGTTTTAACTATCGAAAAGCATAAGATACAACCTTCTGATGTTGCATCAACACACATCCCAACCCAGTTCCATTCCCATCAGTAAACACTACTAACTTTTCCCCTTGTACCGGTATAATTAACACCGGAGCTATAGTTAACCGTTGCTTTAACTCCTGGAAAGCTTTCTCATAATCATCTGTCCATACGAACTTCGCATTCTTGCGGGTTAACTTGGTCATGGGTGTTGCAATAGTGGAAAACTTCTCTATAAATCTCTTGTTATAACTGGTTAGTCCTAAAAAACTTCTCACCTCTGTAGGGTTAGTAGGCTGCTTCCATTCTTTGACCGCAACAACTTTCTCAGGATCTACCGCTATTCCCTAATTGGACACAACATGTCCCAAAAATCGAACTTCTTTCTCCCAAAATTGAGACTTATTGAACTTGGCGTATAATTGTTGCTCCCTCAAAATCTGTAATACAACTTTCAAGTGTTCTCTGTGTTCCTCCTCATTCTTAGAATACACTAGGATATCATCTATGAAGATAATCACAAACTTATCTAGATATGGTTGAAAAATTCTGTTCATCAAGTCTATGAAATAGGCAGGAGCATTGGTCAAACCAAAAAGCATTATAGGAAATTCGTACAACCTATATCGGGTCCGAAAAACAGTAAGCGGTATACTTTCCTCTGACACACCCATCTGATGGTAACCCGTTCTGAGATCAAACTGAGAGAAAATGGCTGCCCTCTTCAACTGATCAAACAAGTCATCAATTCTAGGTAGCGGATACTTGTTCTTGATAGTCACCTTGTTCAGCTCTCTGTAATCTATGCACATACGGAGAGTGCCATCTTTCTTGCAGATAAAGATCGCAGGTGCTCCCCACGGGGAGTTACTTGAATGAATGAACCCTTTCTGAAGCATCTCTTCCAGCTGCTTTTTCATCTCCACAAGCTCTTTAGGCTCCATTTGGTATGCCGCCTTAGAAATTAGTGCAATTCCTGGCATTAGGTCAATGCGAAATTTTACTACCCGTCGGGCTGGAGGTCCAGGTATCTCCAAAAATACATCCTTAAACTCACGCACCACATCTACCTCACTAATATCCTGCTTAGGGATTTCGACCGAGCACAGAAAACTAGTCATCACTGACTCTTCTCTATCGCTAGACGTGTGGGTAAGCCGTGGCATACTGGGAATATCTCTATTTACAGTCTTTCCAGCGCAATCTAGAGTCACAAAGTATTTTCGTAGCCAATCCATACGCAAAATAATTGTAAACCCTTTAAACCCTAACACAATTAGGTCTGCATGCAAGACTCTACCCGCAAAGTCAATCTCAAAATCTTTACATATCTCATAAAGAGTAACTGCCCCCCCTAAAGGGGTCTTAACACGAATAGGTCTAGATAATAAGGTAATTACAATATGTTCTCTTTCTACAAATTGTCTAGATATAAAAGAATGAGAGGCACCAGTATCAAAAAGTACTCTAATGGGTTCTTGAAAGAGATTAAAAGTACCTTGCACTTTGTCAGTTCTTGGCATCACTGCAAATGTCCTGGCTGGAGCTGCCTGACCCTGTCACGCCTGCTGTCCTTGATTACATGCCCCAACTACTAACACCCAAAACACCATACACAACTAATCAAAATAATTAAAATCAATCAATCAATCATCTAAAAACCCTAAACCTTGCATACAAAACTAATCAAAATAATTAAAATCAATCAATCAATCATCTAAAAACCCTAAACCTTGCATACAAAACTAATCAAAATAATTAAAATCAATCAATCATCTAAAAACTTCTAAATCTTGCATATACAACTAATCAAAATAATTAAAATCGATCAATCATCTACATGCAAATATGAAATCAATTCAACATCAAATAAATAAAAATAAATAAATAAAAACAAAAAATTAAATATAAATCAAGAAAAGTAAGTTTTATACTCATAATATTTTTTTTTAAAATCAAATAATCACTTAAAAAATTAATAGAATCACCAAAACAAAACCATAATCCTTTTCTTTTTCTACCCTCTCCTCTTTCTCCCTTTGAACCGTCTCTATGCTCTCTCTCAGTCTCTCTCTCACTTTCTCCGCGTGTGTAGCTTGCGGCTTCTGTGTCCCTCTTTTCTTTTCTTTTATTATCTAAGTGAGGCTCTAATGCTTAACCTAATTGACATTATTTATATTTTATTTTATTAAATAATTGCAACATATATAAATATTCTTTATAAAATCAATATATATAACACCTTTTTTTATATATAAATATATATAAAAATAAATATTTGAATTAATTTTTTATAATTAAATATCACATTAAACTAATTAAATATCATATTAAATTCTCATGTGACCACAAAATTGATAAAGTAAAAAATAAAATAAGATAATAATAACTATAATAATAATAAATAATGACTAAAGACAATTAGGGTTGCTACAATATACACATCTCAAAAGAATCTCGTCCCGAGATTCGATAGGAGAGAGTACTAAACAAAAAGTTCTGGGTGCATACGCCGAACTTTCTCTTCTAACTCCTAGGTAATATCGTTCTCATCCTCGCTCCATTGTACTTTCACCAAGTTCACTTCCTTGCGCTGCAATTGCTTTACATCCCAATCTAGAATAGTAACTGGTCGCATTGCGTACGTTAGATCGTCACTATTCTCCAACACTTCTGGTGATACTACTTGGGAAGGGTCTTGTACACAATTCCGCAATAAAGATACATGGAACAAATTGTGAATCATAGCTAAAGCAGGTGGTAGAGCTAATTTATAAGCCACATTACCAATCCTCTCAGTGATCTCGTATGGTCCCACAAATCTAGGTGCCAACTTTTCCTTCTTTCTGAACCGCATGATACCCGAGACCTTCAAAAACACAAAATCTCCAACATTCAACGCAACCCTTTTACGTTTTCTATCAGCGTAACTCTTCTGACGACTCTGCACAGTCTTAATACGTTCCCGAATAATGTTCACCTTCTCCATGGTCTCTCTCACCAACTTTGGCCCTAACAATGGAGCATCTCCTACCTCCATCCAACAAGTAGGTGATCGGCATGGCCTCCCATACAAAGTCTCAAAAGGTGTCATCCCGATACTGGATTGATAACTATTATTATAAGCAAACTCCACCAATGACAAGTGTTCTTCCCAACTACCACCAAGATCGAGGACACAAGCTCTCAACATATCCTTCAAGATCTGATTTACCCACTCAGTTTGCCCATTCGTCTGAGGATGATAAGCCGTGCTCAAGTCTAACCTAGCACCTAAAGCATGCTGAAAACTCTCCCAAAACTCTGCCACAAATAACGGATCACGATCCGAAACTATAGAAACTGGTGCACCATGAAGTCACACCACCTCCCGAATATACAGCCTAGCTAATTTATCCGCAGTTCGGTGAACACTGATTGGAATAAAATGAACAGACTTGGTGAGTCGATCCACTATCACCCAAATAGATTCATTGCCACGTTTAGATCGTGGCAATCTATCCAAAAAATCCATAGAGATGCACTCTCATTTCCAAGTAGGAATCTTAAGAGGCTGCAAAAGTCCAAACGATCGTTGGTGTTCTGCCTTAACCTGCTGACACACATAACATCGAGAAACATACTCTCCTACATCTTTCTTCATACCTTTCCACCAAAACGTCCTCTTCAGGTCATGATACATTTTAGTCCCACCAGGGTGAATGGTATATCGGGACCTATGGTCATCATCCAT